ATGCTGCAAGATGGATGAACTCTGAAGATACTATGCCAAGTGAAATAAACCAGTCACAAAAGGACAAATACTGTGTGATTCCATTTATATGAGTCTCCCAGAGTAGTCAAATTCATAGAGACAGGAAGTGGAAGGGTGGTTGCCCAGCAGGTGAGGAAAAAGAATAGGTAAGCTGTTTACTGGGCTATGGAATCTAAGTTGGGGAAGATGAAATGGTTCTGGGGATGGACAGTGGTGACAGTTGTACAACAATGTGAATGTACTTAATGCCACTAAACTATACACTCAAAATGGTTAAAACGGTAAATTTTGCTATTTTACCACACACACAAAATCACTGCAGATGGTTGACTGTAGCCATGAAATTAAAAGACGCTTGCTCCTTGGAAGAAAAGTTATGATCAACCTAGACAGCATATTAAAAAGCAGAGACATTATCAACAAAGGTCCGTCTGGTCAAGGCTATGGTTTTTCCAGTGGTCATGCATGGATGTGAGAGTTGGACTATAAAGAAAGCTAAGTGCCGAAGAATTGATGCTTTTGAACTGTGGTGTTGGAGAAGACTCTTGAGAGTCCCTTGGACTGCAAGGAGATCCAACAAGTTCATCCTAAAGAAAATCAGTCCTGAATATTCATTGGAAGGACTGATGCTGAAGCTGAAACTCCAATACTTTGGCCACCTGATGCAAAGAACTGACTCACTTGAAAAGACCCTGATGCTGGGAAAGATTGAAGGCAGGAGGAGAAGGGGATGACAGAGGATGAGATGGTTGGATGGCATCACCAACTCAATGGACATGAGTTTGAGCAAGCTCTGGGAGTTGGTGATGGACAGGGAGGCCTGGCGTACTGTAGTCCATGGGGTCGCAAAGAGTCGGACACAACTGAGCGACTGAACTGAAATGAACCAAACCACCGCCCGCACCCCCCCACACACACACACAGGAGGATCAAAGAAATATGACAACCTTGGATTGGCTGTTGGGCCAGAAAAAAATTTTTTGTAAAGAACATTATCGGGATAATTGGAAAAACTTGAATATGGACTGTTAGACAATAGTATTAAATTGATGTTAAAATTTTCCTGATTTTTACAAAGATATGTTGCCAAGTCCAAGCTCCCTCTGCTCGCCACAGGACAGGCCGATGAATCCAAAAGAAGAGGTATTGAGGCAAGGAATATGACTATATTTGGAAAGCCAGCAGGCTGAAAAGATGGCAGATTAATGTCTCAAAATAACCATCTTTCTCAGGGGTCTGGACTCCAGGTTCTTTCGTAGAAACCAGAAAGAGAAGGGGTGAGGAAGTAAAGTGAAAAGACAGAACAGAGAGGGAGAGGCACAGGGGAAGTAAAGTAAAAGGGCCACAGTCTTGCAAAACATGTCAGGGAATGGCCAGCTGTGTGAAAGGGGATGTACTAATCTCCTTTTCACAGGTGGGCAGGGTCAGATTATCTCCTGGTGAGCTGAACAAAGGCACTTTAACAGTCAGGCAGAGGAGCAGGGTCCTCTGAGGCAGGCTAGCAAGTATGATTAGAACAACAGCAATGAAAAGCAAGTCAAAGAAACAGTTCTACAAGAGATATACGGTACAATGTGGGGAATATAGCCAATATTTTATGGTAACTATAAGTGGACTATAACCTTCAAAAATTTTGAATCATTATATTGTACACCTATAACTTATATAATACTGCACATCAACTATATTTCAATGTTTTACTTTTTCCTGGTTTTAATCATTGCATTATGGATATATAATACTTTCCTTCTTAGGAGATACTCACTGAGGTATTTCAGGGTAACAGGGCTTGATCTGTGCAAGTTACTCTCAAATGGCTGGGGAGGAGGATACACACACACACACACACACACACACACACACACACACACACAGAGTACAGAATCTGGATGAAGGTATACAGGAGCTGTCCGTACAGCTCTTATAACTTTATCCTAAATTTGAAACTATTTCAAAATAAAGTTTTTAAAATGTAGTAAGTTTTAAATATGTCCAAAACAGAACTTCTGATTCCTCACCAAACCTGCTCCTTCCATAGACTCAATTTAGGAAATGTTGGCTCTTTCCTTCCCAGCTGCTCAGGCTGAAACCGGTATATGGTGTCGTTTCCAGGGCTCTGAAGAGCTCCAGTACCATAGTTCTTTATGTCTCAGTGCAGAGAAGAATTCGGCGAGAGCAGAGTGGTAGATGAGAAGTGATTTATTAGAATAGGACGCTTGTGAGGCTTGCAAGTGGACAGGTGAGGAATGCCACACCCCGAGAACTTACTGGGCTACAGTTTTACAATCAAAGGATAAGTGGGGAGGGGGAGAAGCCCTTCTTTGTCTTCCTTGAATAGACGTCATGTTTTCCTCATTAGTTCATCCTCCAGGTTGTACAGGGGAGTTTTCTCGTCCCTGTGTGGTTAAACTAGTTCCACGAATTATTTTTTTATGTGTGCAGAGAGCATGTCCTAGGGATCGGTAACTTACTGTGCTCACTGGGCAAGATGTGGGGCTCATGCCACAGGTTTTTTTATTGTTGTGGGGCATGTCTCGTGCTTCTGTTGCATGGTTTTGTTGCTAAGCAAGCCTGCTTGGTTCTGTGGTTAAGCAAACCTGCCTTCTCGAGTAACCATTAACTTACAGGGGTCTCCCATATTTTTCTACTTACAATCCCCTACTGGGATTAACTACTCAATCACCCTGGAATCTTCACACACACATTAATCACCTTGGAATCTTCACACACACACACACACCAATCCAAGTGAAAATCCTACCAGATGCAACTTCAAAATATGTCCAGAATCCCATCATTTCTCCCACTGCCAGCTCACTAGTCTGGATACCTCATCCTGCTCAATAGCCCCTCACTGATCTCCCTGCTCCCTGCCACCCCCACCCAC